AGATGTGTGGGTTGCTTGTCAGATCTTTAAAGTCTGTATGACTTGTAACATTCATTCATTCAGCAAATATTTGTTGAAAACCTATTACGTGCCACACATTGTGCCAGAAAGTGCGAAAGACAGATTGAAGGATCACAGTGGGCAGCAGGGAGAGAGACCAGCTTTGGAGCCAGACAGGCCTGACTCTCTTGAGATTTTTGCTCTGCCATGTACATATGGCAAAATTTGGACAAGTCACTGAACTTGCTGAGCCTCAGTTTCATTACAGGTAAAAGGATGTGTATACTTAACCCAAAAATCTGTGATGACTATTAAAAGCTATGTAGTGTACCCTGCACAAGCTAATAACATGTAAGTAGACTTCCTCATCCTCCATTCACTTCCTCCTGTACCTTTCGGGGAAAAAGATAACGTGTTGGTAAATACCCAACACACAAGTCAGACCAGGCTAGGTGTCCCTGTGCTGTGTGTGTGCTGTGCTTTGTCCTGTCTGGCTCTTTGTGACCCCATGGACCGTGGCCCACCAGACTCTTCTGTCCATGGGATTTCCCCAGGCAAGAATACTACAGTGGGTTACCATTTCCTCCTTCAGGGGATCTTCCTGACCCAGGGATCGAACCGCCTCTCCTGCCTGTGTCTCCCACATTGGCAGGCGAATTCTTTATCACTTGGGCCACCTGGGAGGTGTCCCTAGAGGCACAGAAATAAGACAGTGAGGGTGCGAACTGAATTCTTAGCTGGGGAATCCAGAAATATTTCCAAGGATGCCCTTTTGAAGGATGGGTAGGAGTAGGAAATTCCGGGTAGGGGGACGGAAGGGAATTGCAAGGTGGAACCAAGTGCCCCTGAATCTCAAAGTTTCTGAAAGGTCTCCGAGGCTGCGGGATGATGGTGGGCTGTACTTACTGCGCAACGATTCTAAGAGGGTGGGGGTTTTCCGCAGCCCCTTCCTCCGGCGTCCCCGAAGCCGTCTTTCCCAGTCCCGCCTCCCACGGGACACCACCCAGGTGCTGTAGGCGCGGGTGGCCGCTCAGCCACGGGAGGGCAGCAGCGGCCCTTTCCTGACCCCACCCCGGGCGCCTCTGAACTTTCCCGACGCTGGTCCGCCCGTAAGAGCTGGAATGTGGCGCTGAGGCAGAGTCTTCCCCGGTCCAGTTCGCCGCGCCTAGCCCCGCCGCCCCCTTCTCCGCAGTCCAGGCATCTCCCGGACCCTGAGGGCCAGCGCTGGGCTACCCGCTGGGGCCGTGGGCGGGGGCCGTGGGTGGGCGGAGCCAAGAGCCGCCCGGCCCACCCCTCCCGGCCAGTCGCCCCTCCCCGCCGCGGCGCTGGAGGAGGGCGGGGCGACGGGCCCCGCGGGTCAGTCTTTGCCTCCCGCACCCGCAGCGCAGCTGGAAGCGGCGGAGCGGAAGGTACCCTGGGTTGGGCCTGTGGGCGGCGGGGTCCTGGGCATTGGTCCCCGGCAGAGCACTTTCCCTCTTCTCCGCTTGGCTGGAGCTCGGGGCGCCCGCTGGGGAGGGGCTTTGGCCCGAGCGCGGGCCCCTTCCTTCCCCTCGTACGCGGCGTCTGGGCGGCGGGGGGATCCGGACGGCTCGGCCCCTCTCTGCCTTCCTGGGCTACCGTGAGGGGCGCCAGGAATTGTCCCGCAGGGCCTCTCGCCTCTAGGTGTCCGAGTCGAAGTCCGTTGCCTTCTCCCGGCTTCCTAGAACCTGCTCGGCAGGGCGAGGAGAAGAGGGGGCAACTTGGGTCTCCTCGAGGGAGCTCCCGCGCAGATGCTTAGCTCTCAGGTCTGGCGGCCCGCAGTGGACCTTGGCTGGGGTGTGAGTTGGGGCCCGAGTCCGGCTTGAGGTGGGAATTCCCCCACGTCGGGCCTGTGAAGTGGCAGGAACAAGGGTGGGGTGTGACCGCGGGGGCTGCCACTGCTCCGGGGGTCTGGACCTCGCCCAGCATGGTTTCTGGAGCCGGCCTGGAGTGGAGGTACGGGAAATTGGGAAGGATCCAAGCTGTGTGTGTGTGTGTCTGTGTGTAAGCTGTGTGTGTGTGTGTGTGTGTGTGTGTGTGTGTGTGTGTGTGTGTGTGTGTGTGTGTGTGTGTGTGTGTGTGTGTGTGTGTGTGTGTGTGTGTGTGTGTCTAAAGAGTATGCTGGGGGTTTGGCCTGGGGGATCCGAGGCCAAGTCACTTCTGGTTTTCAAGTGTCTGTGTGTAAGCTGTGTGTGTGTGTGTGTGTGTGTGTGTGTGTGTGTGTGTGTGTGTGTGTGTGTGTGTGTGTGTGTGTGTGTGTGTGTCTAAAGAGTATGCTGGGGGTTTGGCCTGGGGGATCCGAGGCCAAGTCACTTCTGGTTTTCAAGTCGAGGAGGAGGTATCTGATTTCTTCCCTAGACATCAGGGGTGGTCATCAGGGTACATCGGCCCCTGGTTCATCTGGAAAGCTTGAGAATGATTGAGGAGCTGTTTTATCCAAGGGAGGCCCCAGGAGTTGGACTCATACCAGGTCCTGTGAGGTTTGGTTGCCCCTCTTGGAGTCAATGGGGCAGTTCCTTGGGGTTGCCTCTCACAGGGAGCTGTTGTCGTTGCTGTCTTGGCCTTGGGCCTGGTGGCCTGGCCTGGGTCTGAAGGGAAAGTCTTAATTGAGCTGGGGGAGGGTGTGCTCCAGATCATTCCAGCATGCCCCTGCCCTGGAGTTCTGGCCTCTGACCCGCACCATCTGGTGCTACCTACACTGCCCTGCTGGGGTGGGAGAGCGCAGTGGCAAACTCAGAGCTAGGCAACTGGTATTCACCCCGGTGGTGAATGCCCTCCATCTGTCCATCAACGCTGCCTGTCCCAGATTGGGGCTCCCACAGCCGGTCTTCCCTCAGTTGGATCAATGGAACTTGTGGGAATATGAGAAGGAGTTGGTCACTTGGGTAGAATTTTCAGGAGACCCCCTTTTCTGAAGGATGGTTTCCATTTGTGGAGGAAATCAGCTGGCAGGGTGAACGCCTTCTTGCTTGCCTTTTGGGGTATCAGAGAGCCCCTGCTGTGGTGTTAGAGAGTGGCTGTGTGCTCAACTCCTATAAATTCCGTCTGATTCACATCCGCTTCCCCTCATCCCAGTGTTGTGCATGCGTGTGTGGAGGCGAGGGAGGCCATCCGGGATCCCACTGTTGAAGAGAACTTGCCTTGGGCTGTAATATTCGCTTCCTAAAAGGCAGGGCCGGGCTGTGAGGTGGTAGTGGTGGTGTGTGGGGAGTGCAGGAGCTCAGCCTAGTTTGACAGGATGTGGGACTGAGAGAAAAAGCCAGGTTTGGGGCAGAGATCAGGTTACTGTCCCCTTCTTTCTTAACCACTCCCTGTGTGGCTGGCGCTGGAATTGGCCTTCATTTGTCTCCCTTTTGGAGTTCCTCCCAGCGCCGGCTCCGGCTCCCGCTCCTGCTCCCGCTCCCCCCGACAGCCTCTATTTCATCTCAGGCCCGAAGCCCGCCCTCTCTTCCCCCCAGACTGGGGGCCTGGGAACTCCAGCCGGCTGGAGGTCAGCTCCTCTCCCCAGGGAAGGAGGAAGTGAGGCTCAGCTTCAGGGGCAGAAACAAACTGGCAAGGTGTGGTGAACTGGGCAGCTGCCCTTCGGCGTGCGTTGGGGGCGGGGGACACATGGAAACCCCGGGAAGCTGACTCCTGGCCCTGAGTCACAGGGAGGGGTGGGCAGGGCCTCAGGGTGAGCTGGACAGAGGGGAGGAAGGGGCCGTCCCAGGGAGTGGGTGGAGGTGATTCCCTCGTGGATTATTCTCAGTCGCTCTGCTGTGGTAGATGTGTGGCTCCCTACAGTGTGGTCATTGTCCCCTGCCTGGGGCTGAGTGACCCAGTGTTGCTGCCAGGCCCAGGAGGAAGGGGGGAGGCAGGCAGCCTGCCCAAGTGTGGGCTGTGGGCACTGCCTGGACTGAGGCTCCTTTGTGTGACGCGGGGCCCTGGGGACTGGGATGGGGTGGGCCAGGGAGGCTGGCTGGCTGCTGCCGCTGCCCTCCGTCTGGGTTCCCCCTGCTCTGCTCTCCTTCCCACCTCTGGGGTGATAACGCAGAAAAGCAACAGACTAGTTACACAGCCCTACTCTGAGTGCCTTCCCTGCGATGACTCCGAATTCCTCTTAGCCTCCATGAATCTCACTTTCCTAGTTTGTCAAAACGGGAAGCTCACTACCTTCCAGGCTTCTGGGGACAGAGGTGATTTTTGTCAAAATGTCCACCATAGAACCTGGCACCTGTTGTCTGGTCGCTATGTATATGACTATTTTGCGACCCCATGGACTATAGCCTGCCAGCCTCCTCTGTCTACTCCTACCTCTGGAGTAGGTAGCCACTTCCTTCTCCAGAGGATCTTCCTGACCCAGGGATTGAACCTGAGTCTCCTGCATTGCAGGCAGATTCTTTACCACTGAACCACCTGGGAAGCCCTACCTGGCATCTAGGGTATGATAAATAGTCTTTCCTTACCCACCCGGATCAGTCGGACTCTTTCAGTGGGCAGGCATGATTTGTGTTGAGTGAGGGACAGTGTGTTCAGTGTGTTCCAGATTGGACCTTTGTAATTATTAATCTTTTGAAAGTATTGAAATCCTGGTAACGTTTAAGTCTGACTTGAAACTCTGATATGTAGAATAGATAAAAACTGGCTTTTCTGGAGACACCCCTGGTCCCTGAGCACCCTTCAAGGTGTCCAGGGGCCCGCAGTTGGTGAGTGGATTAGATTAGAACTCATGCTCTCTTGGCTCCCAAGTGGGTGGTTCTTCTTGTGTATTCTAACCCATGGGGGAGACCTGTCCCTGACCTTGAGATTAGGAATTTCAAGCTCAGTTGCCTGAACAATTGGTTCTTGGCAAGAACATGCCTGAGCAAGCTCTTTTCCCTCCGTCCGCTCCTTTTGTTGGATACCTCGGTTTCCAGGGAGGTCTTGGGGGCCCCAGAGAAGTGTTTTTGGATTCACTGGCTTTTCCCAACATCCCTGCTGCCTCTTCCCTGCCAGCCCTGGCCATGGCTGCCATCCGAAAGAAGCTGGTGATTGTGGGGGATGGGGCCTGTGGGAAGACCTGCCTCCTCATCGTCTTCAGCAAGGATCAGTTCCCAGAGGTCTACGTCCCTACTGTCTTTGAGAACTACATCGCAGACATAGAGGTGGATGGCAAGCAGGTAAAGGCAAACAGCCCCCTTCCCGTCTCACCTTGGAACCCCACCCGCCGCCATCACTTGGGGACCTAGAATGTCCGTCCTTACCACCTACCCATGTCCTGGTTTTACTCTCCGTGCTGGAACCAGTGAGAAAGTTAGGAAGTGAAGTTGCAGTCTTAGAAAATCCGGATAACCTCCTGTTTTTTTTTTTAACACACTGGCTCTGTAATCGGTCCAATTCCTTTGCCTCTGGGCTTAAGTTCCCCCAAATGTAAAATGGGGAAATGGTAAGGTCACCTTCAAAGGGTTTTTATGAAGATTCAGTAAAATAGTGGTGCTCACAATGGCAACTCAAACTGCACAAAGATCAGTCTGTCTCAGGATTTAAAAGACTCACCTTGTTTGCGGTGTGTGACAAGGATGAGCACTGTCCCTGGCACACAGTAGTGCTCAATAGGTAGATGCTCCGTGTACCTAAGGGACGGTGATCTCAGAGAGGACCTCCGGGTGGCGAGGCTGTGTGTGTGACTGGGGCCCTCAGGCTAGCTAAGCACTGGCCCTGTGTGTCAGGTGGAGCTGGCTCTGTGGGACACAGCAGGGCAGGAAGACTACGACCGCCTGCGGCCTCTCTCCTACCCGGACACTGACGTCATTCTCATGTGCTTCTCCATCGACAGCCCCGACAGTCTGGGTGAGGGTGTTGGAAGGAGGGGGCTGAGAACCTCTTGGAAACAACCAGAGGGAGCACTTGCCTGGGCTCCTCTCAGTCATCTTCAGAGGCTGTGGGGGTGGGTACTGGGGAGCCCCTTTAGCCTCTGTGGTAGCTCCGGCCCTCGGAGGACTTGGGAACATGTGTACCGTGATGGGGAGGGGTTTTGAGCTGTGAAAGGGACTCTCACGCTGAAGAGCCTCTAAGACTCGGCCGTGGGGAAGACAGGACTCAGGGAGAGCCTTCTAGCCTAAGTGCAGGCACAAACTTAGGTTTGTCTATCGTCCACTGTTGGGACATGTCTGTGCAGAAAACATTCCTGAGAAGTGGACCCCGGAAGTGAAGCACTTCTGCCCCAATGTGCCCATCATCCTGGTGGGGAATAAGAAGGACCTGAGGCAAGATGAGCATACCCGGAGAGAGCTGGCCAAGATGAAGCAGGTGGGTGCCACCGCCAGGCTGGGAGCCCTTGGGGAGGAAGGCACCCTCTGAGGGCGTGCAGGCTGGTAAAGGAGCCTCCCTCCTACTGACTGTTAGAGGTGATGGTAGGGTCCACTTCCTACCCCCTTGCACCTTGATGAGAGAGAACCAGTGATATTTGATGAAAGTGACGTGGACAGAGTGACTTGTCTAAGGTCACTTGGCATTTTGTCTGTTGTCCACAGTTTGGCATTGGGGCTATTAAGATGAATAAGAAAACTGCCGCCCTCAGGGAACTGGGTTCCTACAATAGATGTTTTGCTTGGGGTCTCCTGGGTTCACACCAGGAGGTGTGAACTGACGTGGACATGGGATGGGAAGGGTATTGGAAGCAGCTGGGGAAAAGGCCCAGGCCCAGACTGAGGGAGCTGGCTCATTTGTGTACCTAGAAGTGGCTTTCCAGCCACAGGATGAGTTAATTAGGGAGAGCTGCCAGGATAGGAGTGTGGACAGTAGAATGAAAAGAATACTTTGAGGATAATTATGGCAAGATTTTAAACTGGGGACAGATACGGTCAGGTCAGCACGTGAGAAAAATGATTCTGGCAGCCGTAGAGGATGGATGGGAAGAAGGTGAGAATGGAGTACCGTGGGATATAGGGCTGGCTGATAGAATTTTGAAGGTAAACATGAGTCTTGGGTCTCTTGCTTAGAAGCTGCCCATGGTGGCTGGGGCTTGGGTACTTTGAGGGAAGGGGGCTGGAGTAATTATTTGTGCTAGTTATAAATACAGATGAGATGCACCTAACCAGCAGCTTCCTCTGACCGCTGTCTGTCTCCCTTCCCAGGAACCTGTTCGATCTGAGGAAGGCCGGGACATGGCGAACCGGATCAGTGCCTTTGGCTACCTTGAGTGCTCAGCCAAGACCAAGGAGGGGGTGCGGGAGGTATTTGAGATGGCCACTAGGGCTGGCCTTCAGGTCCGCAAGAATAAGCGCCGGAGGGGCTGCCCCATTCTCTGAGATCCCCAAGACCTCCCCTCCTTCCTTCAGGGGGTTGCAGAAACTCCCTCTGCCCTCTGTGACCCCACCCTATGACGGATCCTTGCTGAAGGCTCCCTTTCCCAATTCCCTCCTGCCCAGGACTGCATTGAGTTTCCCCAGCCCTGACACTGGTGGCCGTAGGCAAGCCCCCTCCCACCAGCACCCTGGGAATAGAGGGGGGTATGTCCTGCCCCTCAGAGCACAGGCCCTCCTCCTGTTGCCTCGGTCCTTGGGTGGGGCTCTTGATCCCTTTGGCCTTCCCCAGAGGATCATCACACCAGCACTTTAATACTTCCTGCTCACAACAGATCTGGGGTAGGGGACTTGGCGGGTGTAACCGAACCCCAGGCCCCTGGTGTTTCTGCTTTGGGCAGGAGCCTTGTCTCTATTCTTGGTGTGGGACATGAATAAAGGCCACAGGCTCCAAAGTGTGTGTGTGTGTGTGGCTTCCTGACTCTCTCTTCAGGTCCCTGTCTTAGCTGTGAGCCTGGAGTCCCATCTCTCTGAGATGCTCACCAGAGGGCCAGTCCCAGGTCTGCAAAGGCAGGACTCCTGGCTGGCAGGGTGGAGTCTTGGAGAAAAGGATGAGGTCATTCCTGGCTCTGGGCCTTGGAGGCGGGTGAGGGGAGTGGTCTGGAGGATAGGCTAAACTTAGAAGCCTGTGGGTGGCTTCTGTTGCCTCCCACTGGCTTTCTTCCCCTGGAAGGGGGTTGGGGGGATGGGGGTGGGTTTGTCCTTGGGCAGGGTGTGATAGTTCCACCTTCCCCTCTGGGGTCATCTTGAGAGTTTAGAAAGCCGGGGCCTGGCTGAGGAGACAAGAGACTTTGGCAAAGAATAACATTTTTTTTTCAGTGGTACTTCCTCCCCCTTCCCCCACTTGTTAGCAGCCTGTTGTGAGCAGCAGGGGATGGGGTCAGGTGGGCGGTCTTCAGAGCTCATTCCTCCATTCTGGCTCCACTTGCAGGGACAGGCCCCCTTCACCCTCCCGCTCCTGGGGGAGGTAGTCGTGACTTTTGGGTCCTAGGAAGAGAGGGGGTGAGCTTTGTCTTAGTCACTTACCTCCTCCCGTAGCACTGCCTCCCTTCTGGCCCACCCTGGCCCAGCCATACCTGAGGTAGAGGGGCTGAGTTTGCTCAGATCTTGGAGTAAGTTCTGCCCCTGCTGCAGGTCCAGTTTGGCAGGGAAGGGGCACCCAGTATACCCCCCGTTTTCCTTACAGAACTCCAGGAATCTGTGGGGTACGGGAGCATTCATACACAGCTGCACAGGGCTGGCTGAGTGCCTGCAGAGGCTGGAGGCCCAGCCTGGGTCCTGCACACCGGCCTATGCCTGGGGGCAAGTTGCTTAACCTTGGCAAATGGAGATGTTAAGATAAAACAGATGGGAAGATTACCTGAGCCCCAAGGGTGCTTCATAAAACTACATCTGTCCTAGGCTAGGGGGTGGTGTTACTGACTCAGTGGACATGAGTTTGAGCACACTCTGGGAGATAGTGAAGGACAGGGAAGCCTGGTGTGTTGCAGTTGAGGGGGTCTCAAAGAGTCGGACACGACTGAGTGACTGAACAGGCTTGTAGCCATCAAGAGGGACGGAGGGTGGGATGCTCACACTTTCCAGTCCGGGTCGTGGCCCAGCAGGAGCGGGTTGCCCACCACGATGAGCAAAGCCTTGGCCCGGGTCACTGCCACATTGAACCTCTGGTGAGAAGAGGTGGTGGGGGTCACAGCAGGGAAGGGCCCCCTGGAAGGAGGAGTGCCCACCAGCCCACCAGCCCTCCAACCTTGGGGTTCTTGAGGAAACCCAGGTTAAAGTCCAGATCCAGCTGCACGAAGCTCTGGCTGCTCCGCACGGTGGAGATGAGGATGACGCTGCGTTCCTGGCCTTGAAACTCTTCTACAGAACCCACCTAGAGGGGAGGGAGGGGAGGGAGGCAGGGCCGGAGGCACTCAGCAGGGGACCCAGAAACCAGCCCCGCCTACCAGAGCCTGGGGACAATTGTTACGGTGGAGGGAGCCAGCGAAGAGGAAAGGACTATGCTGTGCTAGCTGAAACCTGAAAAGTGAATCCAGTTACAGTGGTGGGAACTGCAAAGGCTTCTAAGCAAAGAGAACAGGATTCCAAAGAATACTAACTCGGTAGAGTTTTTCAGACTTTCCTGAAGATAATCACTCAGTACTTGTTTAAGTAACTCTAGGCCCTAGCCCAGAAAGCCTGAATCAGAATTTCCACCGGAAAGGCCTCTAATTCCTAAAGTGCCCATTTTCAACCCTGATCACCTGAGGAGCCATAAAAGAACAGCTGGCCTGGCTCTGCCCCCAGATAGCTGTGTTAATTGGTTGGGTGGAACCCTGGCGCTGGCAGCACTAAAAGCTCTCCAGGTGATTCTTATCTGAGAAAGAGTGGAGCTAGCTGTCAGCTGACTCAGGGTGGGACAGGTGAGTGAGGACGTCATCACAGGACAGGTCTGGCTGGCTAGGAGACTGGACTTTATCCTTAGAACAGAGACTTTAAACCAGCCTGATCCTAAGAATCCTTCGGGGTAATTGCTAAACACACAGGCTTCCTGGCCCCAGCCCAGACCTGTAACTTGGGATCTCCAGCAGGGGAAAGCCCAAGTTGGTCTCAGGCAGCGAGGGTGGGGCAGGGACTGGGGCTGTTCCATCCCAGGAGCAGTAGGGCAGGGACCCAAGCAGGTGTCTGGAAGTGGGGGAGCGAGGGAAACAGAAGTCAGGGAGGGAGTGTGAAACAGTGGTGAGGGTCACCTTCAAGTCCTTGATGTCGTCTAGTCCCCGAAGCTCCTTGTCAAGTTTGGTGATGCAATAACGGATTTTTTCCACCTGGAAGATGGGGACAGGTGCCTTTCTCTCCTGCCATTACCCCAGCACAAGAGGGAGCCAGGCAGGAGGCCAGGGAGCTGGGGGGCAAAGAGGAGGTACAACTGACCTCTGAGCTCGTCTGAGATATGGGGCCAGCAGAGAGGCCTGAGCTGGAGCCCCTGCCTAGTGGTCTGGCTAGGTATGGGAAAGTTCCCTTGATGGGAACTGAGGGCCTGACCTGCTTCCGGTATGGGGAGATGACGCCCACACTTCGGGGGCTCAGACGGGCTTTGCCCTTCTTGGAGGAGGGGGCCAGGAGCTGTTTCAGGTAGGAAGTCACTGTGGCAGCCTCTTCTGGGTTGAAGAAGGACGGGCTGTTGCCCTCACGCTCATCCTTGCCCATTACACCGTGAAAGATGATGGGAAAGTCCTGGACACAGGGTTAGGGGAAACCTTCAGTTGGACCTCCCTGACTCCCTTCCCTTCCACCCCCAAACCCTTCCAGGGAATGGGGGATCCCAGGTAACAAAGGGCAGGGCTTGTGGCCTCCACTCAGAGACTCCTGCTACCCAGACCCTCAGTAAGAGGGAGGCTGGGGTACAGGTGGGAGGAGCCTGAGCCCCAGCCCCGCTCAGCCTCACCTGTCGAGGCAGACCCTCCCAGCGGCAGAAGCGCTCTCGGTCAACGACATCCGCACAGGCCTGCAGCTCCCCATCATAATACAGCCGGTTAGGAACGTCCAGGATGGTGGGGTGAGACCTGGGAGGAGGAGGAGGAAGGAAGAGCAATACCAGACCGGGGCAGGCTCTCCTCCACCCACTCACACACTATCCTGTCCTGCCCACTGCATAGCAGACTCATTCAGTTACAGCTTTTGCAACTGGGTACTAAGAGACCTGACTTCGATCCCTGGGTCGGAAGATACCCTGGAGCATGAAATGGCAACCCACTCCAGTATTCTTGCCTGGGAAATCCCACGGAGAGAGGAGCCTGGTGGGCTACAGCCCATGGGGTCGCACAGAGTCGGACGTGACTGAGCGGCTAACACACACAGAGTTAAGCAGAGAAAGCAGAACCAAATGTGGCTCCAGAAAGCATCCAGTCCACAGACTTCAAATTTAAAAGAAAACACCAAGAAATCAGGGACCCATTCTCAAAGTCTCAATTTTGCCAAGGAAGGATAACACAAAAACACGCATCACCGACCATCACCATTACTGGATGAGATCATGTGTTTAAATCCAAAAATATGGAGAAGGAAATGGCAACCCACTCCAGTATTCTTGCCTGGAAAAGTCCATGGACAGAGGAGCCTGGCGGGCTACAGTGCATGGGGTCACATGACAGCATGTGTGCATGAGGGTGGAGGGAGATGGGTTGGTAGCAATAAACTGGTAGAACTAAAAAAAAAAAAAATCCCCAAATACAAGCAGCACTAACACAACAGCTAACATTTATTGCATTCTTAGTGGACTCATCTAAGGAACTAAAGATTCTTAGAGGACTCAGCTAGGAACTCAACTGATCATTTCAGATGCAAGAACTCACTGACTAAAGGAAGTATACAGCTCTTTAACTTGAATAATCATTGTCTGTATTATTCTCATTTCTCCTTGGATTGCCTAGAAACTTCTCCTGGGACCTGCCTCAGACACATTCCAGTGTCTGGGAACCCGTGACCATCCCCTGATATACAAATAGGCAAACTGCTCTGGAGTGAGGGCACTTGCTAAGTCACACCACCTACAAACAGCAGTGACAGGACTGCGGAGACCTTCCAGTTTACAGCCTTTCTGCACTGTGTAGTCTCTGAGCAACAGGACTGGGATGGAGGCTAAGCTGGGCTGGTGGGGGGTGTGGGCTACCTGTAGTTGCGCAGCAGCTTGGTTATGAACTGGGGGTTATAGCCATCTGGGCCCTTCTTGTACAGGGCGTTGAAGGTGAGCAGCCGCTCCAGCAGTGAGTACCCCAGCCCATGCTTCTGGGTCAGCGGGCAACGCAGCACAGGCCCCAGCTGCCGGGGGTCTCCTGCCAGCACCAGCTGCCCTCCTGGGTTGTCTGCTTCCTTGACTTCCATCAGCCCTGGAAAGTGGGGGGTGATGGGGAGAAAGGTGTGTGGTGGGACCTCTCTGACGCCATGTGGGGCCTACTTGCAGCCCCCTCAAGCCCCTCACCTGCTATGGCCACCAGGCTCTCTGGCTCCATGGCATGGCCAGCCTCGTCGATGAAGATGTGTGTGAAGTGATCGATGGGAAACTGGGCCGAGACCAACCTGGGAGGTGTCAGGCCAGGAAGGGGTCACACCCAGATTGTCAAACCTGAATGCTTACCTAGGCCAGCCCTCTCCGCAACTCCCCAGGAACCATCCTTCCCCATTTTCCCGGCCTGCCACCTCTTTACTTAACAAACTATTAAGAGATACACACACACACACTTCCCACCTGCTGGCAGTGATGAGCGTGGTAATTAAGACGCGATATTCCTGCAGCTTCTTCTTTGAAGGAAATACAAAATCCCCCTTCTTTGCATCCCAGTTACAACAGGGCTGAAGGTTGGGCAGGGAAAGGAGTCAGCTTGGCTCCACCACCAATATCACCCTCACTCTGGCTCTGGGGCCCCCAGGCAATTTTATTTACTTTCTCTCACTTTACACACAACTGAAACTGAAGCCCAGAGAGAGCACCTGACCCACCCAAGGTCACACAGTGAGTATCTCAGAATGCAGGTCTCCTAGTTTCCCGACCCTAGTGTTTACCCAGAGCAGCACCCGCTGGCCCTCGGCTGCTGGCCTTCCCCAGGTACCTTGATGTCCTCAGGGACCAGGTGGATATCCCTGCTGGGCGCCAGGAGGCGGTAGATGGAGCTGGGCAGGTGGACCCGGAGGCGCTGACAGAGGAGATCGGCCCCTGAGTTGGACGGAGCGCAGGCCAGGATGTGGGCTTTGGGCAAGTGCTTCACCACCTGGGGTGGGGATAAGCACAGTGTGGGAAGCAGCTTCTGGTCTCCGGGTGGGGGTTGAAGGGTGGGGGGCGGTGCAGAGAAGTGTGGTTGTGACTCAGGCTGGCGCAGTGTGGCATCTCTCTCCCATTGCTAGGGAGGGAGTGACTAAAAAGGCAAGTTCTGATCCCCAGCCCACTGCAGTCTAAACAGGACTTTATGCTAGAAAACTGCTGCAGTAAATATAAAAGGCTACCATGACTGATGCTGAAGCTCCAACACTTTGGCCACCTGAGGCAAAGAGCTGACTCACTGGAAAAGACCCTGATGCTGGGAAAGATAGAAGGCTGGAGAAGGGGATGACAGAGGACGAGATGGTTGGATGGCATCACTGACTGGATGGACACAAGTTTGAGCAAGCTCTGGAAAATGGTGAAGGCCAGGGAAGCTTGGCGTTCTGCAGTCCGTGGGGTCAGAGTCCTACACAGCTGAGCGACTGAACACAACAACCAAGACAGAGACATGAACTGCAGCGTGGAGCCGTGCAATATTAAACGTGCACACAGTGCTCAAAGCCACACTGGCCCTTGGTGCCAGCTAGCTGGAGGGAAGCAGAACCTGCGGACAGCTGCTTGGTTCCAGGGGGACTCAGAGTGTAGGCCATAGACTGTAGGCTCAGGCCCCACCTGCTTGATGGCTTCCACTAGGGTGACAGTCTTGCCCGTGCCCGGAGGCCCAAAGATGATGTAGGGGGCGGGGCGGGTGGTGCCCATAACGATGTGCTTCATGGCCTGAAACTGCTCCGGGTTTGACTCCAGACTCCGGTCGTACAGCCTGGCAGAATGCCACAAACATGATGTTGTCAAGTCCCAGAAGCCTCCCTGACCGCATCCCCTACACCCATACTTCAAGTGGCCCTGGAGCCCCTGCCCAGTCTCACTTGAGCTTCACATCTGAGGGCAGCAGCAGGACTCCACGTGAGGCCACCGGGAAGAGCACGGGCTCAAGTGGCCAGCGCCCCGTCAGCTCCAGTGCACGGTGCTGCACCCGCAGGGGCTGGCGGTTGAAAGTGAAGTTCACCTTGAAAGTCAGCCCATCCACAAAGCGGCTCAGGAGGCTTTGGGAAGGGAAAGAGAGGGGGAAGCATTCCAGTAAGGAGGGGTGGGCAATAAAAGGCCAGGACTCTGTCTATCTACCCCAACCCCACTCTCTTTCCTAGATCTCCAAGCAATCCTCTAGGAGAGGAAGCTGCTGAGGCACCTCAGGGTCCCCCCCTGCTCTGTCCCTGGGGTCCCGCTCACTCTGGGGAGAAGCACCCTCCTCCCTTGGCCTTTGGGGCCATCTGTAGACCTTCCTATAGCTCAGGGTTCCCTCAACACCTACTTGGTGGAAAAACTCAGCTTGACCCGGTCCAATTCCACCTTGTGCACAAAGCCCTTGTAGGTGACAGGGTCCTCGTGATGTGTCTCGGAGGACAAAACGGCAAATAGGTGGTCACCCCGCAGCACGGAGGGGCGGCTCTCAGCCACCCCAGGAACCTAGGAAGCAAAAGCACCAGCAAGCTTCTAGCCCAAGATGACCAGTGGAAGGCCCACTGAGACCCCCGCTCCTGAGACACAAGGTCTGACAATCCACCTCTACTCTGGGGTTCAGGGAGCTTTGCTTCTTTCGTCTTCCACCAGGCAGGGCAGGAGTCAGGGGAGATGGGGAAGGGACAAGTTTGCCCAAGGCGCTCAGAGATGCTGAGAGGAATCCTGGCAACCCTCCAAGGCACGATTTCAAAACCCAGGGGTCAGCTTCCCAGTAAGTCCACCTGCCCTCTTGGCCAGTTCAGTTTCTACTCTGTCTTTAAAATCTTGTTAAAAAAAAAAAAAAATCTTGTTCAAAAGTCAGTTCCTGCAGGAAACTTTCCCTGATCATCCTCACTTGCTATCTCTTCTCACTTGGTGCCTTTCTCAGCACATGGGTGCAGGAATCCGTTCTCATGTGCAATTCTGGACTTATGTATACACACTCAACATCTGAGAGCTGGAGACGTCTCTAAGAATTATCTTCCAGACTTCCCTGGTGGTCTAGAGGTTAAGAATCCACTTTCCAATGCAGGGGACTCAGGTTCGATCCCCAGTGCGGGGAACGAGGATCCCACATGCTGCAGGGCAACTAAACCTGCACCCTGCAACAAGAAAAGCCTGCAGACTGCAATGAAGATCCAGTGCAGCCAAAAAAACCAAACAAATAAACAAAAAAGAACACGAACCATCTAGTTCAGCTCCATGCTTTTCAGGAGAGCGAACTAAGGCCCAGAGATAGCCAAAGACTTGCCTAAGGTCACAGAGCCAAGTGATAGCAAAGTCTGGGCTAAAACCCTAGTCTTCCCTATTACCCTGCTCTGACACCTCTTTTGGGGGTCCAGATGCCTACTCTGCTCCTTGCCAAGCCTTCTGGGACAGGAACAGCGTCATTATCCTTTTGTTCTGCCCACAGTCTGTGGGTTGGCTAACTTGAGTCCATCCTCCCTACTACCGATCCAAGCCCTGACCTCCAACGTGAGCAGACGGGGGTTCCGGTCTATGGGGTCCCAGGTCATGGGCACCGACTCCAGGTCATAGTGCCGGATGTCGTGCTCCATCTGTAGCTCCTCCAGGTGCAGCAGCAGCCGGAGCTTCACCTCGTAGTTCCTCCACTTCAGGGCTGTCTGCAGCTGGGCCCTGGCAGTGATGGGTGGGGAGGTGGGAAGGAAAGGACAGGAACAGGATGGGTCAGGCAAACCCCACGTCCCGGAGCACCTCTCCCTCTGCAGCCCTGAGACTATGAAAACGTCAGGAATCAGGGAAGACTAGAAGAGCAGAGAAGCAGATGGGGGTCAGGGGCCTCTAAGAAGGCAGTCCCTGCCCGCCAACCTCAGACCTGCGTTGTGGATCCTGGAGCCGGAAACATCCTCTCTCAGAGATCCTCCTATGACTCATATCCTCACCTCATTCAAATGTTATTCTCTGCTCAAATGTCACCTCCTCGAAGAGGTCAGGACTAGCTGTCCTCTGCGAAACAGGACAGCCCACCCCTTACTCTGCTTTAACTTTAGTTAGTTCTTCACAGTACTCATCACTACACAAGATAAGATGAGAAATGCTCACTTTCCCCAGCTACAATGTCAGGGCCACCACGTGAGTGATTCACCTTGAATGCAGCCTGGCACATGGTGTGTTGGCCAGTAAGGGGGTGAATGAACTGAGCATGGGAGGCCGAGGACAGAGGCAAGGGGCAGAAGCAAGACGTGAGCAGAAAAGAAACGCATAAAGAGTGTGGAGGGTGCAGAGGGATGGTACTTACTTGATCTCAGCAACCTCCTTCGGGGCAGTGAAAATACTTGTTCCCTGAAGAAGGAGGGGGAGCAGCTGTCTGAGGCGGGGGGGCGGGTAGTATGTTCCCAGTGGCAAACTGAACTCCAGGTCATAGTTCTTAGCACTGCAGGAGGGGGACAAGAAAGGCTATTACAAACACAGAGACCCCTCGCCTTCAGAGACTCTGAGAAGGCCCTTCCCCAGGGGATGCACAAAGCCCTGCTTCAGTACTATTGCTGAAAGGGGTCAGTAGCCTTTGCCCTGTCTCATGAAGCTGCTCATGCCAAGACTGGACCATTTTCATTTTTAGAAAGCATGATACTTGAAAGCATTAAAAAAAAAAATTATATATAATATATGGAATTCCCTGGCAGTCTAGTGGTTAGGACCCCACACTTCCATGGCAGAGGCGGGTCTGTCTTTGATCCCTGGTTGGGGAACTAGGGTCCCACAAGCTGTGAAGTTATCTATATACATATACATATATAAACAATACATGTTCATTAGAGAAAAAAAATCAGAAAATAGGTAATAAATAAATGGGTAAATAAACAACATGCTCACCATCCAGGGATAACCACTGTTAACTTCTTGATATGTAGCCTTCCAGACATTTTTCTTTGTCAACATGTATTATACAAATATATTTTAAGTTAATTAGCCAATTAATTAATTAACTTCTTGGCTGCACTGCATGGTTTGTGGGATCTTAGTTCCCTACGACAGATAGAACTTGTGCCCCCTGCAGTGAAAGTGCGAAGTTCTAACCACTGGACCCGCAGAGAATTCCCCTATACATAGGAGAATTCTGCTAAAATTCTGCTAAAAGCAGAAAGAGCGCAGTGGTCTCACAGTTTGCTTTTATAGCTCAGTATTTTGTGAACACCTGGACATGTTAAAAAGAGATGTCTACACATATGATTCCATTCATATGACATGTCCAGAAGAGGGAAATCTATAGAACGTACATGAGTGGTTGGTGAGGGCTAGGAGGCGGGGTGGTGGCAAAACGGGGGATAACTAAAGGGTATGCGCTCCTTTTGGGGGTGATGAAATGTTCCAAAATGGATTGAGATGATGGTAGGACCTATCTGTGAATATGTTAAAGAAATCACAGAATTGTACACTTTAAAGGAATGAATTGTATAGTATGCAAGTTGTTTCAACAAAGCTGTTATGAGGGGGAAGGGGAGAGAGGGAGAGAGAGAGAGAAACATGACCACCCTGGCTGCCTGACAATCCATCATACAGTCAAAAATACTTGGAACTTTTTCACACTGTCCTTGTATCCTTTCCTTCTTAGAAAAGGTCTCTGAGGTCTGGAAGATTTAAGAACTCACTGTTAGGAAAGGGGGCTCTGTGTTCCCAAATGCCCACACAGTGATGCGGGTGGGACACCCCCCCCTCCCCTCCACCGCCCCAGTCTGGACTGGGTTGGACGGAGGACTTACCGGTCGGGTCTCTCTCCTTCCTCTATTCGGCTGGTCACCACAGGGTTTCTAGTGACCTGGCGCCGCTTGAAGGGTGTCGTGGGTTTCAGCTGTGCCGCTAGGGGACTGTGGGCCACGGCGGCTAAGAAGCGGGCGATGTAGAAAGTGCCAGCTCCTTCTGAGCCCGGCTCTCCAGGGCCCAGCAGCTCCCAGAGCACTGTGGCTGGGAAGTAGCCCACAAAGCTGGTCTTACAATGAACATGGAGCTCATAGCATTCACCTAGGAGAAGACAGCTGAGTGAGGTGGGTTGGGGAGGGAGCTGCCCAGGAGCATCCCAACCCTGACATCCCCCAGATGGCCCCTACCCCAAGGCAAGCCCCACCAGCCTGCAACAGCACATTCCTGAAGCAACAGACCCTCCTAGGGCAGGCCTCCGCCCACCAGAGGCTCTTTGAGAACCCACTCACCCGGGCCCAGGAGGCAGGGCAGCTCCCGGTCTCCATTGCAGAAGGAAAACTGGGGGGTCCGGCAGAACGGGAAGAGGTGGGTGAGGGTGACAGGCTGGGTTCCTCCATTCCGAAGCCTGAGGGTCAGCACCTCCTTGCGGTTCAAATCCAGGCGGATAAGGAGCTGTCCATCTCGGGCTTCGTGGGGCCCCTGGACTTCCACATTCACCCCATGTTTCCCATGCATATACTCAGCCCTGGGGAGAGCAGGAGTCAAGGGCGGGCAGGACTGGGGCAGGAGCAGACAGGACTGGGAGTTGCCCTCAGGAAAAATCACAGAATTGGGAGGATGGCCAAGTGCCAGCCACGCTCAGGAAACCCACTCCCCAACTAGCTCCTCCCCTGCCCTCCCCTCAATCCTTGCAGGAGGGAGCCCCACCCTGCCCCCCACCAAGCCGAGGCAAGCCCCAGTCACACGGTTTCCCACACGCCCAGGCCCCTCTTGCACACTCCATCACACACAAGCACACCTGTCATGAAAGATAGTGGCTAGCAGTGACCTGTGGTGTTTGCTCATTTCCAACCCCGGCTTCATTCTCCTCTTTTCTGGGAACCACACGTCGGCCCAGCGGTCGAGCCCGAAGAACCTGACTCGGGTCTTGGTGACGTAGGCCAGATTGGCAATCTTCATTCCATACAGCATGGAGGAGAAGCCAGGGGTAGGGGTCCCAAAGCTGCCGGGAGCAGAGGAGACTGGGGAGTGAGGGCCAGGGGCGGCAAGCTGGAGGGGGCGTCTGTGTGGGACAGGCCGGGACAGCAGGACTTTTTAATGTTTTCAGGGAAGGCAAGCGGACCCTCCCCAAGACTAAATGTGATCATTTTAAACAAGCAGCAGGTGGTGGATGTTGCACTTCTGCGGAGAAAAGTCCAATAGTGGGCTGTTGAGATGGAGGACTAAGGGAAGAGAGAGTAAGAAATGAAGATCTGGGGCAGGGTGGGGGCAATTTGGGACAGAAAAGATATAATACTGAAGCAGAAAGAGTTAAGGCAGAGAGGGAAGCCGAAGAAGCTGATTGGTAGGGTGGTGGTGGGGGGTGCATCCCAGGTCCAGCCCGCTGGTGAGGAGTGAGAGGGGCAGAGAGTGCAGGTGTCCAGGGTGTGTGGGCAAGGTGGCTGATCAGACAGCAGTGTCCCCCCGAAGTCAGAGGGTGCAGGTAGAACCCAAGCAGGAAGGGAAAGGATCCTTCTCCAGAGATCAAATAGCTTGTTTGGGCCTAGAGAAGGTGAAGACAGGGAAAACTGGTCAGAAGGACAATAACCCCAAGGTTCAGCGCCTGGAATTCAGTTTAGTCAACTCGACAAACACTTACAGAGACCTGTTATGTGCCAGACACTGTGCTAGATGCTGGGGGTTCAAAGAGGCTTTGAGGAGCATGGAGGGAACACATTAATTCCAGCCCCTGCCTGGAGCTCAGAGGGGAGGAGCTCAGACTTGGCGGCTTCCCAAGGAAACCGCGTCAGAACTGAGTCCTGAAGGATGAATGGGTGTCATTCAAGTACAGGATGGAGCACAGCGTGTGAGCCGAGGTATGGGGGTGCGAGTGGGGTAAGCTGGGGGGACCACCCACTCTGACACTAGCTGGGTCACCTTGGGTCATTGTACCTCGCAGAGCCTCACTTTGCTCCTCTATAAAATGGGGATAACAGCAGACTTATCTCCCGGGGTGGTTGTGTGGATCACAGGAGAGACAGGCACTGCAGTGTCCACTTAGCCCAGTGCTTGGCACATAAGATCTCAGTAAGGCGCACTATGATTAGTATCACATCCAGTCTGGTTGTACTAGAGTGAAGAGTGCAAGGAGGGATTGGCAGGAGGCAGCAGAGGTGGGCAGGGACCAGGTCTCGCATAGTTTTGCATGCCAAGCCATGAAGCCTGCACCTGACCCTGAAGGCCAGCAGCTCTCCTCCTTTACAGGCAATTAAGGGCCAGAGGACATCCCCACATGTGACACGTCATAGCCACATTCATGCTCTGGACAGCTGACCACCCTCCCTCCGTGCTTTGAGGGGAATGAAAGCAAATCCTAGTTCCTAGGAACCATGGCCATCCCTGTTGAACTATTAAGGCTCAACCAGCATGGTCACTCACCAGCATAAAAGAAGATCATTTATGGTTATGGACATTTCCCTGGTGCCCCCTGCCTATAACTCTGCCCCTCTCCCTCCCTCCATGCAAGTGAGTGATACCATTCAGAAAACTTTGAATTGGCTCTGATTTGTCTTACAAAGATAGTAAATCATGTGAAAACACAATAGAAAATGCTCAAGAAATGTTAGCTACTATTATTAGTATCCTATTAGTAGTAATAGTAATACTAGTAGCAGCAGTAGTAGTTAAGAGTAGTAACTTACTTCCAGCCTGCACCAGAGGCTACACTGTGGTTACACAACCACCCCATGTTGGTGGGTTTTAAGCAGGGGAGTGGCAAGATCATATTTGCATTTCAGATCACCCAGGCATCAGGAATGGAGGATGGATTTGCTGGAGGCAAGACTGTAGGCAGGGAGACCAGTTAGAAGAAGGCCATTGCAACCGTCCAATTCAAAGTTGACAAGGGTCCGAACAAGGCAGTGGTCAGGATGGAAGAGGAGACAGATCTGATATTTAGAATAAACAATTAGCAGATTTTGGTTTCAGACAGGAGAGCAAATGTAGGCTGGGAAGAGGGAGGAGTCAAGGACAATACCGAAAGCAGTGTCTTGGCTTCAGGGACTATTCCTGAGATAGGAGGGAGACACAGGAGGAGGAGGAGGCTGGAGGGACATATAGATCTGGAGGACATGGTCAATCTGAGATCCCATGGTCCACAGGCAGCTAGCTCCATGAATCAAAAGCTGAGAACTCAGGTCAAAGTCAAAGCAGACCCTAAAAATAGGGAGATGTCAATAGTATTTACAACTATGGAAGTGTTCAGGATCTTCCCAGGGAGTGAGTCGTCTGAGGACCACTGAGGCCAGCACAACCCAGGGAGGAACAGAAAACAGAGCAGGAAGCTCCTGGAGAGGGAAGAGAACCAGGAGGAAGTCTCACAATCAGGTATCAGGCTCAGCTGCTGCTGAGGGGCTGAGGCAAAGGGGCTGAAATCAACCCTGGTAACTTTCACCAGGGCCCCGTGGCCAGTGAGCCATTAAGTTCCATGAATCGGCACACACTCAAATGGCAGCAGACGCCAGACTCCACACATTATCTTTGATACCTGCAGTCATCTCCGGTCCTCGTATAGGACCTGAGTCATTAGCAGAAGGATTACACACGTCCTTCTTAAGTGAATATTCTATGACTCTAACCAGGGGCTTCCCTGGTGGCTCAGGGGGCTTCCCTGGAGGCAAAGAAAGCAGCTGCAATGCAGGAAACATGGGTTTGATCCCCGGATTGGAAAGATCCCCTGAATGAAATGGCAACCCACTCCAGTATTCTTGCCTGGAAAATCCTGTGGACAGAGGAGTCTGGTGGGTCACAGTCCATGGGGTCACAGAAGAGTCAGATGCGACTGAGGGACTAAACAAGTCTAAACAAACAAAAGCTCAGGTGCCCTGAAACACCCTGGAGCTCTCAGCTTAGTGGTAGAGAGAAAACAGGACCCTGAGGGGACTGAGCAAACCCAGGAGCACAAATCCTGTCTAAAAGGAAGAAATGCTACTCATTTCTAGAAAGAGGTTACCAGGCCCAAGATGGCCAGATCTGGCTTTTAAGAGAAGCCCAAAGTACAATTTTAAGGTGAAATCTTCCATCTTTGGAAGCTTCTGCATGGACACATGAGCAGGAGGAACTCTGCAAGTTTTACAGCTTCTATGATAGGTGCTATGCCTGTGTGCTAGACTCTTTGTAACCCCATGGACTGTAGCCTGCCAGGCTCCTCTCTCCAAGGAATCCTCCAGGCAAGTGGGTTGCCATACTCTCCTCCAGGAGAAAGGTACTACCACCTAAGTATTAATAGCTTTCAAATTATTCTTCATGTCTATTACCACTACCCAAGTTCACTTGGTCTAAGGTGACAACCATAAAAATTGAAAAAAAAAAAATAATTTTTTTTTAGAAATCACAAACTTAGTACATACTTGTTGAAAAAAAGCACCAATTCTTGCATTATAAATCTAGTCATTTGGATTTCAAGGGAAAAAAAGATGAACAATTCAATAGAAAAACAGAATATTCAACTTAAAGAGCAAACTGATGACTCAGGGGTAAGAAAAAATACTCCAAAAATAGAGAAATGCAAATGAAAGTAAAAATGAAGTATCATTTTGTTTCCATGAGACTGACAAAAAAGAAGACAGTCACAACATGTCTTACCATGTGGGAAAGAAAACTCTCATACACTGCTGATAGAAAGGGGAAATATTACAACCATTTGGAAAACAATCCAGCAACATCTCCTAACATTTGATATGGAGGTATCCTTTAATTCATGGGAATGTATCCATGCAAAAGAAACATACCAACATATAAGAACATATGTGCATGGAGGCCTATTCTAAAGTCCTTCATATTGGCCAAGAATTGAAAACAAATGTCCATCCATAGGGAGATAGCTGAATAAGCTGTAAACACTCGTACCACAGAATATCAGACAGCTATTTAAAAGAATGCATCACATCCATTTGAAAGACTAAAATGCAAAAGGTTGTCAACACCAAATGTTGACAAGGATACAAAAATACCAGAATGCTCGTGCATTGTTGGACTATAAAACAGTACATCACTGTAGAAAAAGGTTTGATGGTTTCTTGTAAAGCCAAACATAACATAATACTCTGATTTTTAATAAAAATATTATTACATTGTTCATGAAATAAAAATTAATAAAAAATGTAACATCTAGTGTAGACCTACCACTGGTATTTATTCAGTAAGGACTTGCCGGGAGAATGGGTGAACGAAGTATCAAGCAATTCCAGACTGTTATTTTATAGACGAAACAGGTTAACAATGCAAACACTGAACCTCTGGCTGCCAGCAATACTGTGCGACGGCCTGGAATATCAAGTGTCAGGTTATATGTATTGTCCAAACTTGGACAGTCCAATCGCAGGCAAGGTCACACCAGAAGACCATTCTAAAGAAGACTTTGCTGGCAACTACCAAAAAAAGAGGTTAAGCAACTTGCCCAAGATCATAGTCTCCAGGACATGTATATATATCAGGGTTTCAAGGTCATTGTTTTCAGTTTGGGGCTATTTTGAATAAAAATGCTATATATATATATACATATATATACACACACACACATATGCTTCCATGTTGGCTTAGCGGTAAAGAATCTGCCTACAATGCATGAGCTATGAGTTTAATCCCTGGGTCAGCATGGCAACCCACTCCAGTATTCTTGCCTGGAGAATCCCATGGACGGAGGAACCTGACAGGATATACAGTCCATAGGGTCACCAAGAGTCAGACATGATGGAAGTGACTTAGCATGCACGTGTGCATATATATATATATATATTTTTTTTTTTCCCCTACCTTGGCCAAGTGAGCTGCATGTGGGATCTTAATTCCTGGACCAAGGATCTAACCCAAGCCCTTTGCATTGCAAGCATGGAGTCTTAACCACTGGACTGCCGGGGAACTCCCTTGTGATTTATATTCATATAAGATATACTGTTGGTGTTTAGTCGCTAAGTCCGACTCTTTGCAGCCTCATGGACTGTAGCCCGCCAGACTCCTCTGTCC